AAGTCACGTGGTCTAGTCACCTGTGTTACGCTATTGCAGTATAACAAGTAAGTCTCATTCGATCTCAGATAGGGGTTAGATAGGGCAGTGATAAAGTTATGAAGAGCTAACAGTGAGTTAATTTCAGGGTTTCCGCCAGAACCCACTTGACTGCGAGAGATTGACTGCCGTTTGAGACTGCCGTTGATGATTGAGGATTGGCGATTGTCGCCGTTGGAACGATCAGTGTAGGCTGGTCACTGGTTAGCGGGGTAGCAAAGGATCTCTTGAGTGAACGAGTGCTCCCGACAACTAAAACGACACGGGACCAGCATCAGCATTGAGTGATCAGTTCTTACCATGGGGATGCACAACACCACGTGCCCTCGGTCAGCTAGAAGTATTACCTACTGGCCATAGTCACCTGCTGGCATTTTCTCTTCCTGCCCATGGACGCACTGGGAGTACACTGAGGCTATCTGAGTAAATTAATGGTCACACACTGAGACCAGGAGTCTAGGGGATACCTAGAGAAACATTTTATCTCCCTTATTACAGGTGTATGCTGAGTTGGGTGAAGCATGGTTCACGGGTATTGGTGGACCCAGTAACACCTTAATAATAGTGATAATATTTTTGTGTGTAGTTAATACCATTTTTTGAGTTACTGATATTATCTCGACGTGTGTAGTTTAATATTTCTGAAATAATTTTGATCGTATTGTTTGTTAAATGTTGTGCCACTAATTGAAACCATGGTGATACTGTGATTTAGTTCCTTTAATGCATTTAATTTTTCTTTATAATTCCGATCTCAGGTATAACCTTTGTTCCCCAGAGTAGTGTTTAAGTTAGGTTAGGAAGTGTGCATCTGTTGGGGTAATATAATTTTGTTGAATGCCCTGAAGGCCTATCCAGGGTGGAATTAATAATTTCTTATTTTTATGCCATTTCCGCAGTGGTGGACATTATTTTGTGAAAACCCTTAAGGCCTGGTTCATGTGTGCAAGCAACATTTCTTAATACTTTAAATTTGTTGTTGTTTAATGAGGCATTGTCTGAGTTTCAAATAATTTCAATATCATGTATAACTTTTATTCCCCAGAGTAGTGTTTTAAGTTAAGGTTAAGAGGTGCGCATATTGGTGTACCATTATTTGACTGTGTCTATAGTGTTGGAGGGAATGTCTAAATTTTACAGTGTGTCTCATTCATCCCAGTCACAGACGCTATCCTTCCACGGGTCACGGACAATTTAGTTTGTTTAGTAAATTTAAGTGTTCTTGTGCTGGTTCGGGATTTTTTTCAAAGGGGCGCTTCCACTGCAATTTCATCTAATAATATTTAATAAACCCCAAGTGGTTAAAGGGTGAATAATACTTCTCACGTCGTACACAAACATTATAATTCGGTCAAACCTGTTGAATACAATTCATTTTGTATTTCAAACAAGTCATATATAGGCACTCCTACATAAATGTTTAATCCAATATATATTTACATAACAATCATGGCTATGTAATTAGTCTAATCTTAACACTTACAATGAGTTCTCAATTTGCCATATTTCTATATTGTCACAATGACAAATGATGCAATGGACACAGTCTATCTGTGTACACAATAAGTACTAGTTAAACTTACGTGTTGAAAGTCTAGAGACAAGCCAGGGTAGGTGTTGCCTCTAAGATATGGGTAGCTACACTGAAATGCCCACCCGATAGCATGGCCCCCTGGCTGTTCAGCTATGGCTGAGACAGGTGATTATAATTATACATAAACAAACTCCCTTCACACACTCCAACCACCTTCTGGGCCTCTCATCTCCACCATCTTCGTACTCTACATACTGTATACGGTCTGCTTGCGGTAACACACACTCCATTGAGCGTTCACGCTCAAAACCATGTCAGGCCTTTGATACTTAATGCTTTGTTACGTTCTTGTGACCATGCTGCCCTCAGGCTGATGGTATTCAACTATAATTTTGTCACGTTCTGGTGACTATGCTGCCCTCAGGCTGGTGGTACTCAACTTTAATTTTGTCACGTTCTTGTGACCATGCTGCCCTCAGGCTGATGGTATTCAGCTTTAATTTTGTCACATTCTTGTGACCATGCTGCCCTCAGGCTGGTGGTATTCGACTTTAATTTTGTCACGTTCATATGACTATGCTGCCCTCAGGCTGGTGGTATTCAACTTTAATTTCGTCACGTTCTTGTGACTGTCGCTGCCCTCAGGCTATCAGCACTTATCAGCTCCTTGGGACATCTCGGTCCTTTGACGTTCGGACATCACTGTCTTCATGTGTGGATACCCAATTCATTCTCCTGGCCGACTCCGTCAGCCCTTTCCATTGCTCCCTCCAACAAGCATAATTTTGTCACAGGTCACAGCATTGTGGACGTCGTCGTCTCAACTACTGCCTGTCGTACAAGTCCATCCTCGCCAGCCTTGACTTCCATCACTCGACCAAGGTGCCATTTGTTGCGTGGACTAATTGCTTCTGCTATAATGATTAGGCCACCAGGGCGAAAGTTGCACTGTGGTCTGAAATGCACTTGTCAAGTTCTGAGTTGAGGGAGGTACTCCGTCAGCCAGCGCTTCCAAAATTAATCTGCAAGGTACTGGACATGCTTCCACCTTTTGTGGTATGATTCGCCTATTGACCTTCCACCTAAGGGAAGATTACCCTTTTGACTTACGTGCAAAAGATCAGCAGGCGTGAGAGCCTTTTGTTCATTTGGAGTGTTTGGAACCGGGTGATTGGCCTCTCGTTAACTATGGCTTCCACTTCACAGAACAGTGTTTGCAGACGTTCATCTTCTAAGACTTGCGAGCCCACAATCGCCTGCAGGACCTCCTTTACTGTGCGAATCTGCCTTTCCCATACTCCCCACATGTATGGGGCAGCTGGTGGATTGAAGACCCAGTCAATATCTGCTTTCAGTAAGGCACCTCTGAGTCTGTCATCTTGCTCCCAACTTATCACTGCCAGTTTGAGCTCTTTGGCTGCCCGTACCATATTTGTCCCATTATCCGACCTAATACGCTCTGGTGTACCTCTGCGTCGAAAGAACCTTGTTATTGCGTTGAGGAAGGCTTGACCTGTTTCCTCCCTACCCTGATAATGAATGGACCAAAACAGTCCGTTCCAGTGTAAGCAAATGAAGCCTTTCCAGGAGTGAAACAATCTATTGGTAAGTCAGCTTGCCTTTGATGCCGACTTCTCCAGTTGTTCCGTCGGCACACTACACAGCGTCGTATGATTCTATCAAGCAAGCGTCTGCCCTGGGGAATCCAATACCTTTGCCTCACACACGCCATCGTGTGTTCTCGTCCGGCATGTACGACTCTCTCTTCGTGCATCTCCCGCACTATGATTTCGGTGATGTGGTGGTCTCTAGGCAGCAGTATTGGCTCCTCACCACTTCGCCCAAGAAGGGTTCCTTTAATTCTTCCCTTTGATCTGAGCGACGTTCTCTCGTCCAAGTAAGGTTCCAGTTTATATAGCTTATTGTCCTTCGGCAGCTCACCCATTATGACAGTTTGGATTTCTTTTTTCATAAGCCTCTTTCTGCACCAATCGTATAATTGTCTCCTCAGCCGACGGTAGTTCCTCAGTGCTTAGCCTCTTCATTTTGAGGCGCAGGTCTGCGGTCCTTGTACTGGATCCAAGCCACCAAATGAACCTTTTAATCCATGCCACCCCTTTCACCAAGCGGTACCATGATGAGTACCTCAGCCACAGTTTGGTGAAGGACCACTTTGACTGCTCGCTCACTCCTAGAGCAACTACAGATCTCTGGTGTACTTCTCGTTTCACCTCCAGTAAGTCGTTCAGAACTGCTGGCAGTTCCTTTCCCTTTGGCCACCGTTCTTCAACACTGAGTAGAAAGTCAGGACCTCGTATCCACCGAGATCCTGCAACCAGGTCCAGGACAGGTAATCCCCTAAACAGGACTCCAAGTAATTTGTTGTCAAAGTCTGGACCTTGTAGTACCTGGTCGTTCAGCGATGTCCTTTTGTGTTTGGCTGCAGTCAAAAACTATGCGTACTTTGTTTGGCTTATTTGGGTTCAACACCGGGTCATGAGGCAGATACCAGACCAGTCCAGTATCTGATTCCAACTGGCACTTAGGCACTGATTCAGCATATCCTTCAGCAAGCAGTTTATTTATTTCCTTGGATAGTCTCCTTCGAAGCCCATCTAGTCGACGCTCCGCCACGGCCTTGTTGTTTGGGAGTTCCGTGTTCTCATTACGGAACGGTATGGGAAATTGGTAATGACCATTAGTTTTGATGCCTGTCTCTGACCATAACCTCAACACTCTTTTGCCCTCAAGTGAATGAGCTGCTGACTGCAAGGCTCCTGTGTCCCCACTTTCCAGCTCCCAAAAAAGCTTAACTTGTCTTTCCAGACGGGTTTCAGGACTCACGACAGTTTCGGTCATCAAGCATCCTGACATGCAAACTCCTTGTGCGTCTTGGTGCCCCACCGGTCCATTTACTGTCCAAACCAGTCACGTTTTTATGGCGAATGGCATTCCATCCCTTCCTGCTATGACCTCCAAGGGTACCAGGGCCTGTGGCACATCTTGTCCTATCAGAATTTCTATGCTGTTGCTCTGCAATTCTGGTAATTCCACACCTCGCAGATGGGTCCACCTTGAGATATCACTTGTGTTCGCTACGGAGTTGTGCAGAGTTGTGGGGAAATTTTGTATAATGAGTACTTTCGGCATAAGTATGGTTCTGCCTCGTTTCGTGCCTGCGCCAACCACTTCTAGATCTATCTCCGCTGACTCGAGTATCATCTCTTGGGCAAGTGTACCCATGGTTACCAGGGTAGGTGTCCCTTTCACCCTTAGTTTCTGTGCCAGATCTTTGGTGCAATACGACTCTGTCGCTGCCTGGGTCCAAGAGAGCTAAAGTTCTGATGTGATTTCGTTGGTGTTAGTCCTTTCCCCGAATCTTCACACTCACTATGGGCAGTACAATCTTGGCATTTTTCGTCGATAGTCAGATGTCGCTTTCGCAGCTGTATGGGTTTTCATGGCCGTCCTTTGTCCCTGTAGCATAGACATGGCCTATTTTTCCGGCCATGTACGAACTGTCGTTGGCTTTCTGGGCCATGCCACCATCAGAGGTGCCTGCCATTGACTCCTGTTTCACGAGACCTTGAAAATTTCGCTTTACGCCACCCTTGCTTGTGTTTGACATACTTGCAGTAAGTGCCTCCCTTCGTTCTTGATGCAACAGTCTAGAATGCTTCTCTTTGCACCCATCAGTGCCACACCTGAAGCGCGACCAACACCCAACAACAAGGTGGCCCACTCTCAGACACAAGAAACAGCAACGTAATCCTTTTACCCTCTCTAACCTCTCCCTCGCAGACATGCTCCGGAATTTGTCGCACCCTGCTAATCCATGTGCTCTGGAACACACTGGGCACGAGCCTTTTCCAGAGCTTGTTTCATCTCCATTGCCTTTCGCTTCACTGATAGTCACTAGGCCCACGGCACGTTTGCTTGACGATGATCCTTCTGGTCTTTCCTTACTTCCTTCTTGACTGTCCTCGCTTGATAGCAGAGCCATGTCATCCATCGTCACCGCTTTCTCCTCCAAATATAGCGCTAACCACTTCATCAGCCCCGTTCTGTGTCCTGTCGACTTCTGATAATTTCGTACATCATCCACACAGCGTTCCCTCAATATGGGGGGATACTTAATCACCAGCGTTCTGAAGGTCTGCCTTGTTTCAAGTTCAGACATCAAGTTCAGATTCTCCAGATGGCTTACTGCACCCCATAGCTGAGATGCCAGTTTTCTCAGCCCTTCGTCGTCGAACGCCCCCACTGAGCGAGCATATGCATATGCATATGCATATGCATACTTATCTCCAAACCTTGCCTCCAGGATCTTGATTGCCTTGTTGTAGGCTCTGTCTGGCTCTAGATAGTCGCATCCCATGATTGCTTGATGTAACTCTTCTCCTTCACAAGCATCCATGAGCAGTTGGTACTTGTACTTCTCTGGCACGGCCGCATTTGTCATGTATCGACGGAAGGCATGCATAAAGGTCCTAAACTTGGAAAGGGTGGCTTGAGGCCTGCACATCGTAGCCACTAACTCTCTTATTTCTTCACCCTTCCCTGATTCTCCCTGTGGATGCATAATTGTGACTTGAGGCGCTTTGTTTGCAAGCATTGGCGGTAAGGACGATGCCAGTTTCTCGACATTGACCGATGCTTGTTGCTGGGTTTCTTCCAGCACTATTGGCTTCTCATAATTGCTGGAGTTCTCTGTCGAAGTCTATGAGCTGTTACTTCTTCGTGTTAGTGCTGATGTCTCTTGACCCGCCACCATTCCAGTGTGCATCGTTTTCATCCACCCTGCCTTAAGCACTCGCAGGGCTCGGTTTACTTCATCCGTCTCTTCCTCACCTCTGGCCACTGCTTGTTGATAATCTAATTCCCTACTGTGACCTTCCCCTGGATCTCCTGGTATTGCAAGCTCATTTCCTGTTTCACCACTCTCTGATTGTACCTCGGTGGGCGGATCCATTGTCATTAGGTCAAAATGTTTGCTTCCATCTAGGTCCGACTCTCCTTCCATGTCATCAATATACCCAATCTCCGACATCTTGCTTATTTTGGTAATTTGAATTGCGTTCGTTTCCACCACTCTTAAATCAGGGCACGTTCGTGTGCCTTGTCTCACTAAATTATCAGGGCACGTTCGTGTGCCTTGACTTGTACTCATTTATCAGGGCACGTTCGTGTGCCTCGTCTTACACTCGCACCTGATATCATTACACACTTTACATTGATATTTAGGTTATTTACAAAGCAATATCACTTCAGTCAACTATGACTGCTAATTGTGTTCTGCACTTACGTCAGACAACAAAATGACATGTGTTTTCATTCTCATATGCGCTACACTGGGAGTGATAAAGATCACTCAGACAAACTATTATCTGGACTAACAAGGTTTAACTATTACAATGGTCAACATAAAAAAAAATTCTCATGGTTCTGGATCAAAACAGTCTGATTCTAGTGTAATTGTATGTGCTGAACTCAATTATGACATTCGTATAGCTGTATCAGGCTCAGTTTTCCAGAACCAGCATATCTATATATTTAGTATACCATGCTATTCATACAGTAATTTATATGCTCATTGGCTCCACTTATGCAATTATTTTGTCCTGATTTGTGCTTTTTTGTTTGTTTCAGTTTGCTGATTCATGATATTGCATATCTACACCTGCATGATTTGTAATTACTCTGAAATTAACAAAACATGGAACGTCGCAAGTGTGTGAACGGTGCTGACAGTTTTTGCTACATATGTGGTGCCTTCACTCCTGGTAGCCTCAAGAAACCAATCACAAATACTGTTCGACTGAACTACAAAAGTTACTTCAAATGTCATTTGGGTGACCAAGACAAGAAATGGGCACCTCATGTAGCCTGTAAGTCTTGTGTTAACCACCTGAGCGAGTGGATGTGTGGTAAACGAAGTTCTGGAATGCCGTTTGCTGTACCAATGATATGGCGTGAACCTAAAGACCACAGAAGTGACTGCTACTTCTGTCTCACAAATATTAAGGGAATAAAAATCAAGACACGAGGCAAGGTACAGTACCCCAATATTGCTTCTGCAATCCGACCAGTACCGCACAGTGCTGAACTTCCAGTCCCAAATCCACCGACTGAACAAGAATTGAGTGATTCCGATTCTACCTCTACCTCAATGGAAAACGACTACCAGGATGACTCTGAAAATACCAGGCCTAAACTATTTACTCAAGAAGCGCTTCATGATCTCATCAGGGACCTAAACTTGTCAAAAGAAAAGGCTGAAGTTTTGGGATCCAGACTAAAGCAGCGTAACCTGCTAGAAGATGGAGTGCATATCACTACAGCGCGTTACCGACATAGATAGCTGTCTGCATTTTCAAGATGGCAAACAACCTTTGTTATTGCGAGGACGCAGTATCTCTCATGCAACAACTCTGCAAGTCTGAAACATACAAGACAGAGGATTGGAGGCTGTTTATAGACTCAGGAAAAGACTCTCTGAAAGCTGTTCTTTTACACAATGGCAATCGGCTTCCATCTGTCCCAATAGCACACGCAACAAAAATGACTGAGAGCTATGAAACAATGAAAATTCTGTTGGCCGCTATAGAGTATGAGAAACACCAGTGGAAGATATGTGGCGATCTCAAAGTCATCAGTTTACTACTGGGCCTTCAGAGTGGCTACACAAAGCACATGTGCTTTTTGTGCTTGTGGAACAGCAGAGCTGATGCAGAGCACTATGTGAGAAAGGATTGGCCGACAAGACCAAGAGATGCGCCTGGAAGGTTTAACTGTGCTCACAATCCGCTTGTAGATCCAGAAAAGATATTTTTGCCTCCACTGCATCTAAAGCTCGGTTTGGCTAAAAATTTCATCAAAGCTATGGATCAATTCGGTGCTGGGACTCTATACTTATCTCAGAAACTAGGTGGTGTGGTTTCCGAAGCCAAGTTGAAAGCAGGTGTCTTGAATGGACCACAAATTCGTATACTAGTTAATGATAGCGAATTCACCAAAACATTGAACCCACTGGAGAAAAAAGCATGGGAATCATTTGTCAATGTGTCAAAGAATTTTCTTGGAAACTATCGTGCTGACAACTACAAAGAAATCGTAACAACCATGCTTCAGAATTATCATGCATTGGGAGCAAGGATGTCCTTGAAATTGCATTTTTTCCACTCTCATAATGAATTTTTCCCAGGTAACCTTGGAGACGTTAGTGATGAACACGGCGAAAGATTTCATCAAGATATCGCCATAATGGAGAGCAGATATCAGGGACAATTCAGTCCTAACATGATGGGCGACTATTGCTGGACACTGCAACGAGAAGAGAGCAAGCTGTACAAGAGAAAGAGTAAAGTTCAGAAGCACTTTTAGAACTTCATATTTTGTCATTATAAAGGATTTGAACTTATGTTTTTTGGTACAATTTTTTATGAGCTTATCTGTGATAGGTTTAAAATTGTATCTTGCATGACGCGATAATGTTACTATATTTACTATTTTTTTTATTCTTTAAGAAAGTAGGTCTGATGGTAGAATGAAACATCCAATTAATATTCATTAATATGAAATTAGTCATGAAAGCACAGTCACATGAGATAATCTCATCTTTTGCACGACACGTGATGGAATATTAAATATTTGCACCTATTGATTTTTGTATAAAACCTGGTCTGATAGAACAAAACAAATATCAGATTCGAATTCAGCAATATGAAATTAGTTGTGTGAGCATGATCTCATATGTGAACCATTTTGGATGCGAGAAGTATTCGGACGTTGCACTGCACTTCTCGCCACTGGATACGCACACATACACACCCACACGCACTCACTCGTCCCTCGAGTGACGCGTGTTGGTGTGCCAAGCTACACTAAGAGAGGCTGAGCTCACTCTGACAACATTATTTTCTTCAATAACAAAAGTTAAAATATTTTCGCCACTATAAATCTATGGGCGTTGCACTGTAATCCGTGGCATTGCGAACACATGCGCATCCCTCCAGTGGGTTCAGTTGAGTTGACCTTGGTTACTCTGCTGCCCGCTCGTTGATTCCAGCTAACACACTGCTACACAGTAGACATTCCCGTTTGACTAATATATATATATATATATATATATATATATATATATATATATATATATATATATATATATATATATATATATATACAATACGTCATATATATATATATATATGTTACCACAAAATATATATATATATATATAGTTGAAATATATATATATATAGTATATGTTATATATATATATATATATATATATATAATAATAAATATATATATATATATATATATATATATATATATATATATATATATATATATATATATGTATATATACAAATATATATATATATATTATATATATATATATATATATATATACTGTACATATATATAATATGTATATATATATTTGTATATATACATATATATATATATATATATATATATATATATATATATATATATATATATATATATTATAGTTCTTGCTGCAAGTCACATCAAATTGGTAGAGTCCGTCTCAGAATTATTCACAAGCTGACCAGAGACGACCCGACCTGACCTTTGAGGTAACATCAGAATCCATCATTATCTTTATTTACCTAATGGCCACTACTCAGAGGTATCATGCCGAGAGAGGCAAGTGGCCTTTTGGCCTTGTAGGATCCCTTCCATTGTTCTTGATAATTTTGTAAAGGGTTATTGTGAAGCCCAAAACTGTTCTTGCTTCCAGAGCTTGGGCTGGTAGACCGTTCCATAGGTTCACCACCTTCTTTGGTTGCAAAACGATTTTCCTTATATTCGTTCTGCATGATAACTCTCAAGCGAGCTTGTAGTTATGTCCTCTCATGCTGGTGGTGGTGCGTGACATCATAAATAAATGGCACTTCACGTTGTCCATCCTTTTCTGGATTTTGAATGTTCCAATGAGATCTGCCCACTGTGCCTTGTCTGAAAGGACCTCGGTCTACTTGGATAATCGAGATGACCTAATTACGGAATCATCTTGCACCTTTTCTAAGGATGTTGTGATTCTTTATGGAGGTAGGGTTTTCATTCCTGTTTACAGTAATGTTGACTGAGACGTACAGTCAACCAAGGATGCACTGACCCCACCTTGGGTCTCATACAATTGGTTTACCTCATGCCTGTCGAACAGGATGCAGTATGTCTGTTATAATAACCACCAATCTGACTCCTCGCCTATCTTGTATGGAGTCCCCCAAGGCTCAATTCTCGGTCCAGTACTGTTTTTGTTGTACATAAACGACATAGTCCACGCCAGCCCACTCATAAAATACAACTTATTTGCAGACGATAGTAATCTCTATGCCAGCAACTCAGACCTCCATTCCTTGATGAGAACTATGAACCCTGAATTAACTAAAGTCGGGACCTGGGTAATACGTAATAAACTGATCCTAAATCTTGAGAAAAACTACTACACGATCTTTCACAGAAGAAAAAACTTACCTCCAGACTTGAACC